ATGGCTATTGTATATATGTATCACATTTTCTTTCTCTAATCTTCTATCAATGGACACTTAGATTGCTTCCCTATCTTGGCTACTGTAAATAACACTGCAGTGAACATACAATGCACGTATCTTTTCAAATTAGTGTTTTGGATTTCTTTGAATGAATGCCCAGAAGTGGGATTGATGCATTATATGAAAGTTCTATTTTTAATTTTTTGAGGAACCTCCATACTGTTTTTATAATGGCTGCACCAGTTTGCAAATCCACCAACAGTACATGAGGGTTCGTTCCCTTTGCTCCATATCTTCACTAATACTTGTTTGTTGATTTACTCATAACAGCCATTCTGACAGGTATGAGCTGATACCTCATTGTTGTTTTGCTTTGCATTTCTCTGATGGTTAATGACATGGAGCATCTTTTCACATGTCTATTGGACATCTGTATGTCTTCTATAGAGAAATGTCTATTCTGGTCCTCTGCCCACTTTTAAATCAGATTGTTTGTTGTTTTGGTGTTAAATTGTATTAGTTCTTTACATATTTTGGATATTAACTCTTTATCAGATATATCATTGATTAATATCTTATTCCATTCAATATGTTGTCCTTTTGTTTTATTAGTGGTTTCCTTTGCTGTGCAAAATGTTTGATGTAGTCTCATTTATTTAAAAAAAATTTTTTGTTTTCCTTTGCCTGAGATGATTTGTCCAAAAACAAACAAACAAACAAACAAACAAAATACTACTAACAGCAATGGCAGAGGGTTTACTGCCTGTGTTTTCTTCTAGGAGTTTTATGGATTAGGGTCTTATATTTAAGTCTTTAATGCATTTTGAATTATACAGTGAGTATGTATTACTTAATATGTGACTATGTGTTAAGAATCAGGCTAGGTCCCTTACAATATCATCTTCAGTATTCATAAACCTTTATGACGTGGGCTTTTTAAAAATCTCAGTTCCACAGATGAGAAAGCTGATGTCTACTGGGGTTAAAAATCTTACTCAAGTTCCCACAGACAGAAAGTGACAGCCGGAAAGAGACAGCCAAGTCCAGGACCCATGTCTCTCTAAAGCTTATGTGTGTCCCACAGCCACATTGCTTGATTCAGGGCCGGTAAGATAGTTTGTAACTAATTTCTTATCCTACCACCATTATTGAAGCGCTATCTTCTTTCGGAATCAAGTTGCTCCGATGATCGATTTTAAGTTTTGGAAAATTGTACAGATTGAAAGATCCCTTAAATGAATGTTACCCTCCAAAGAGAAAAGCTCTTTAGAGCTGTTGGAATCTATACTGAAATAACCAATTTCTATCTATGCTCATGTTGCAAAGGCTTAACCTAGAATAGCTTTTTGAGTGAAGTCATTGACCTCATTTTACTCCTTCCCCTACACAGAACCAGTTGGAGATAAGTAGATGCTTATCCCTTGCTGTTTATTGTTGGTGTCCTTAAGGGGTTTACAGATTAGATGTTTTATGCCCTTATGTGTGGATAGAGGAATTTCCTTTGGTTTCTGTTGGTGTTAATTTCCAGACACCGTGATTGCGAACTGACACAGCAAAGACCAGTGACATTCTCTCTGTCACTGTGAAAGCCCATTTATATGTGTGTCATGAAGTAATTTTCGGTGAGCCTTGGAAATGGCAAATTTCTTTTCCCATGATAAGAAAGGTTTAAACAAGTCCTGGCCGGTTTGGCTCAGCGGTTAGAGTGTAGGCCCGTGGTCCAGAGAGACCTGGGTTCGGTTCCCGCTAAGGGCATGTACCTTGGTTGCAGTTAGTTCCAGGCCCTGGTTGGTCATGTGGGTGGCAGCCACTCGATGTGTCCCTTTCATGTTGATGTTTCTCTCTCTCTCTCTCTCTCCCTCCCACTCTATCTGAACAAAAAATGGAAAAAATGTCCTTGGGCGAGGTAAAAAAAGAAAAGAAAAGAAAGGTTTAAACAAGCACAGTTTAAATTCATTGTTAGTATGTATACAATAAAATGGGCATTTACTTCTCTCTCACCAACAACTTTCTTTGGCTCTCTTTTGGAAGGGAGTAGTCATTAATTTATCCAGCAAATATTGGGTTAGCTAATATGTATCAAGAACTGTATTTGGTATATGCTCCCAGCTCTCAGAATCTAGTGGGGAAAAAATAGATAAAAAGGCAAATTACACAGGACCTGGAGACGTGTTTATGGCACTGTGTGGACTCAGAGGTGAGGGGCTGTTTTTGAAATGATTAGACAAGGATGGGGAGAATTTCCCTGCTACATAAAGGGGAATAGGTTTTCCAGTTAAAGGGTGCAGCAGACTTGAAAGTACCAATCTCAATAAAGCATTTAGACAAACTGGAAAAGTTTAGGGTGACTGGCTTTTGGTTTAGAACGGTAGCAATTGTGGGAGACGAGGTAGTTTGGGGCCAGAGGGAATCACTGAAGGCCTTGTGTGCTAACGTTAGGAATTTAGAATTCATTTTGTAGGTAAAGGGATGGTTACAATAAAGAGGCTCAAATGGTCATGGGAGAAAAATCATTTTCCTTTTTCATTCAGGAATGGGGACATAGAACACCAAAGAAACATTTACTGACTCTGGTCAATCAGTAGGGGCTGTGGGTGAGTTCATACAGGCGCCATTAAATAGAACAAAGAGAAAGCAATTCCATGTAACTGCGCCCCCCACTCCGTTTGATTAGCATTTAGCTTCTCTAATTGAAGTTAATTCATTTGAACAATTGTCAAGTGGGGCTTTGGATCCATCTTTTGGGCAAGGCAGAAAGGAACCCCTGGCATTTTCTTCTTTACGTTTTGTTTCTATTAAATCATTCACTAGTGATTTATCAGGAGGAGCCCGACTGTATCCATTTCCAGAACTTCCTAAGGGATTGCCCCCTTGGCCCTCATTCACATTACAGCTTTATTAAGGGTTTCATGGGTTTTGTTTTTGTTTTTGTTTTTTCTTCTTCTTCCATGTAGTCTCAGGAGAAGAGGGAAATCCTGTTTGTTATACAATGTAACTCATTGCGTAATGGGTCACTGCATATTTCTGCAAAGACAGTGGCCAAGGGAACTTGGAAGAAAACAAAAAATGGCATTGAAATGTGATGTGTCAGTGGAAAAGAGAGAGGCAGAAAATCTCAGAGGGAAGAGAAGTGGGACAACTATTTTTGCTTCTACATCTCATCAGTTATTAATACTAACCCCATAAAGTGTTAATGGGATTTTTTTCAGAGAGAATTTTCAAAAGAGAACAGGATTGGACATTTTAAAACATATAAACACAAAATAAATTAATAAAGTGAGAGCCATCTTTGGCAAAAGAAGTTAAAACTCTTCAGATGTGACTCAGTCTATTCAATTCAACAAATATTTGTTGAACTCCGCCTGGGCGTCCTTGAGGATTTCAGCATCTCCTGGAAGGGGACATGTGAGTCACTCGCTATGATACGCTGTTGTAAGAAGGATGTATAAATTGCTATGGATACAGAAAGACAAGGACACTTGAATTTGCCTATCAGGGTTGGGGAAAGGTTTGAAGTAGAAATACTTCCTTCCACATTTAGGCTTACACTTGAAGGGTGAACTGAAAGTTTTCAGGAATGAAGAAAGGGCATATGGGAATAGGGAAGAGTAGGGGGAAAAGCTTGAAGAATAGAAGTGTATAGCATGCTCTGGAAATTGCTCAATCGTTAGGGCCCTAGACTCCAGGATATGTGAGGAAGAGAGGCTGGGAGGTAAATTCTCTGGTTATAACCAATTGGAACTGATGGAATAACACATGGCAAACATCCCCCCCCCCCCCACGTACACACACTTTATTGGAAACATATAGTGCTACTCACTGAATCATAGCAAATGCTGAGAGCCAGGATTCAAGATAGATAGGAACTAGAGCACCAGAAATTAATAGGTGTGTTTTCAGGCAGCCTCGTGGGGTGAATCATTTTTAGTGATATTCCTTAAACATCAGAGTTCAGTGAGACAGTATCTGCTTGGTACAACTTACACACGTCTTAGCTTGGAGAGAGCAGGGCCCCTTGATGGAGAATCCTATCAAGTTGTACTAATGGAGGGAAATAGATGATCTAATCTATTTGGTTGCTATTTGCCCAAATAGAGGGAAATAGATGCTGGCCAGAAAAATGACAAATGTCCATTAAAAGTAAGATTGGGAAATTTTGTGAAGGGTCTTGTATGTCCGCTGAGACTTTTGAAGCATATTTTACAGTTAGAATCAACAAGGATTCATAGTCCATTGTTTTTTTTGGGATTGGATAGGAAGGAATAGAAGACAGCAGAGTTTTGCCTCAGACGAATTCATAGATACTCTTTTTTTCTTGGTATGAATTTTAAATTAATTTATTGTTCTGTCCTGAAACTTTAATGTTTACTTAAAACCTTATAATAGCCCTGGCAAGTTTGGCTCAGCGGTTAGAGCATTGGCCTGCAGTCCCGAGAGACCTGGGTTTGGTTTTCGCTAAGGGCATGTACCTCGGTTGCAGTTTGTCCCTGGCCCTGGTTGGCTGTGCAGGTGGCAGCCACTCGATGTGTCCCTTTCACGTCGATGTTTCTCTCTCTCTCTCTCTTCCTCTCTCTCCCTCCCACTCTACCTGAACAAAAAAAATGGAAAAACGTCCTCGGGTTAGGATAAAAAAAAATCCACAAAAACCTTATAATAGAAACAGACATATAAATCCACTGAGCCTCTGCTTAAACAGACATTTACAGTCTTTATTCTTGATATAGTGTTCAAATTATCCACACAAAACTAACTGCTTATGAAGAATGTTTTAAGCTATATTGATGATTTTAAAACAGACACAAAAGATCAAAAACAAAGAAAACTTCCTCTCTCTCAGGAGAAACGTTATATGTCAAGTTACCCTCTTTAAACATCTCTGGGGTCAGTTCTGGGTGGACCAGATGGCTGCTCCCTGTCCCGTCAATGATCCTCTTGCCCTGGTCTTATTCAGAAGGCGTCTCCTGTGTGCAGTACCATGGTCTCTACAGCAGCAGCCTTCAAAGGCCCCCTTCTCGTTTCCCTATCTGTCTCCTGCTTTCTGCAGTCTCCTTGCACACGTTCTCATAGCAATAGCCACAAAGGACATGTTTCTGTTTCACGTGACCACATTCAGGACAAGCGTCTATGTTGTTCTTCCTTTGAATAAGCTTCTGAGGGTTTCTTCTCTTCCACTGGTTAACTCCAGTGCTGTGTCTGTGTTTGGGCACTTCATCCAAAAGGCTGGAAATCTCTGTACTTGCATTAGTATTTGTTGATTCTGTAATATAGCCGGACCTTGGACCACGGATGCTGGTTCCCACGGAGGGCTGGTGCTTCCGGAGTCCCGCTGCCATCTGTCCCGAGGACTCCCAGGCTGTAGGCCACAGTGGAGCCACCAGCACCAGTGTGGCCATCAACACCTTCCCAGCCCAACTGGAGAATTCATGGATCATCATAACTGTTCTTTAATTAGGTCTTAAAGGAGGGTAACATGTCTATTTTAATATGCCTGACAGATAAATAGGGTGGAGGTGTACTATGGATGTGGGGAAATAATTTTAAAATGTATGTGTCAGATCTGGCCGATGTGGCTCAGTGGTTAAGCATCGACCCATGCACTGAGAGGTCACCGGTTTGATTCCCGGTCAGGACACATGCCCAGATTGTGGGCCCGATCCCCAGTGGGGGGCATGCAGGAGGTGGCCAATCGATGTTCTCTCTCATCAATGTTTCTATCTCTCCCTCCCTCTCCTCTCCCTCTTTCTCTAAAGTCAATAAAGGAAAAAAAATTTATATGTCAGACCTTCCTATGATAAATTTGAAAATTTCCAGAACAATCCTAATGCAGCTTTATTAAACATTTGATAATCCATTCATATCTTGTCCAAAATTACTGACTGATAATCTCTCTGATCTAGAAAACCATTCAAAACAAAGAAATCATTTTTTTAAAATCCTCACCCAAGGATATTTCTTTTTCTTCAGATAGAGTGGGAGGGGCAGAGAGAGAGAGAAACATCAATGCTAGAGAGACACATCGATTAGTTGCCTCCTGCACGATCCCGACCAGGGCCAGGGACCGAACTGCAACCGAAGTACGTGCCCTTGACAGGAATCGAGCCTGCAATTCTTTGGTCTGAGGGCCGACACTCTAACTGCTGAGGCAAACTGGCCAGGGCAGGAAATCATTTTGAAAAAAAGAATTCTGCACAGTCAAAATGAATGTTATAGGGCCAATGCTACTAAAACATTTTAATCCTAAGAAATTCCCTTAAGGACTTCTGTCACAGACAATTTTACAGCAGAAATTATCATTATAATGATTATAAGTATCTGCTTTCTTAGCCTGTGGAAGCTTAGGAGCAGCAGATTAAAAGTGAATGCGAATGCGAGACGTACTGATAGATGCTTACAATGATAGCCCGATGCTGAGGAAAGAGAGCAATACAACGTTTCAAATACCGAAAGCACCGAAGTTGATGCGTCTAAGACTCTACAGCGTGGAGGAAAGCATCCCTGTGCTGGTGAGTAATCAACAGGCCATTATGCCAGTCAATACAGGACAGGTTATACTTCCATAACGAACACTACCGAAACTCAGGGGCTGAACACCACAAAAGATGATTCCTTCCACAAAGAAAGACTACTTCTGGTCCGGGTGGCTGTTCCAGGCTACCAGTCTCCACGTGGTGTCTCATTAATTCAGGCTGCTGTGCCCTGGACACCCCACTCGCAACACACTCATCCCTGGATACCAGGGCAGGGGAGAGTTGTCCTGGGGGGCCTCCCTCCTGGCCATGTACTGCTTTGCCTGAAAGAGACACACCCACGTCTACCACGGGGTAGAACTGAACACTTAACCCTGTCAAAGGACAAAGGAAGCAGGTCAGTGTAGTCTTCCCTCGTGCCGGGAGGAGAGTAAGGCTGGAGGTGAGTGAGCCTGGGAGTCCCTGCAGTCACCCCTGTGCTGTAACTCGGTGATGGTTTCAGTGTCCAGCAATGCCCGAGTCATCTCAGCCAAGTGCAATCAGGTTTGATTATACTTTACTGCAGAAGAAAAGGAAGACTATAAGTCACCATTTCATTTCTGCAGAGGAGCAGAAAGGCTCAGTTCCTGTCACCCTATCATCGTTTGCCTGTGTGACACCATCTCAAGTATTTTGCAAAGGTTCATACCAATAACGATGAAAAGGAAAGACTTTCCTTACCTAGAACAGGAGTTGGCAAATGTTTTCCTCCAAAGGGCCAGAGAGTGAATATTTTTAGCTTTGTGGGACACCCCTATAGTTTCTGTCTCAGCTACTGGATTGCAGTGTAAGAAGGGTTGTAGACAATAAGTAAACCAATGGGTGTGTTCCAATAAAATGTAATTTACAAAAATAGCTGGCAGGCTGGATTTGACCCATGAGCCATAGTTTGCCATCCTGTGACCTAGAAAAGTTGCTTGTGGACCCCTCTGTGGACACGCTAGGGCTCCGTAGGGTGCCCTTGGGAAATTATGAAATGTAGATCCTTTCTAAGTTTACCATTATACTGCAGATTGGACTACGTTATATTCCTCGAAGGCTGTCGCTCGCCTGTGCTTTTATCTACATTCTTCCTCTCCTAGGAGTGTCCTCTCCTTCTAAGTGTAACTCCTTCTTTGGGAATCAGACCAAGTTCTACTTCTTCTTTGAGGCTTCCCCTTAAGGGTTCGATCCCCAGTGAGAACGTCTCTGAACTCCAAACTATTCAACCCAGTGTTTCTGCCTTATTCTTCTCTATTTCCTACTGGATTGTAAGTTCCTCCGAGGCAGGTTTTTATTTCACGACCTGACACGAAATAGATACCTTTGAACCTTTCTAATCACAGCTGAGATTCTGGGAAGATCAGGCCACGCTGGGTCTCTTCCCTCTTTCCTGCTTGTTCATCTTCTAGATGCCGTCTGTCCCCACCATCACCATCACACCAACCCTGCTATCAACCACATCGCCAAGGAACACTTTCTTGCCAACTTCCAGTTGGCATTTTCTTATCAGAAATTGTCCATTTGCTGTTTCCTTATCAAAATCTTTCAGTAGCATCGACACTAATGACCACTTCCTTCTGATACACTCTCTTGTTTTCACCTCCTTGATACATACTACCCTGTCCCCCATCCCTTATTCTAGCCATCGCTCTTAGTTCTTCGTTGAGCCCCTCTTCTCTTTCTTGTGCTTTAAATATTGGCGTTGTTTAAGGGGTCCTCTACCTTCTCTTATTATTTTTCACGTACTTCCAGAAGAATATCATACCTCTGTATCTTCAGTTAACTTCCGTATCCTGATGACCCCCAAATCTTTTTTTCTTACTCAAGCCTCTCTTCTGAGCTCCACACCTATGAATTAACTGCTTATGAGACATCTCCCCTTGCATCACTTAGAAACCTCCCATAACTAATCTCCCTAAGGCTAAACCCTTCATCTTTCCTTTTACCATATATTTTGTCTTTAGTGAATGGTACCACCATCTACTAGTTGCCAAATCAGAAAAACCTGGTAAGCATCCTTGTTACTCTACCCCCACTGAGATGCTTCTTTGATTTGAGAGCTTTTCTCTTCTCACATCATTCTTCCCTGGTTCATCATGCTTGACAGCAGGATACCCTAACTGATATCCCACCTCCTGCCTCGTCATCGTAACCCATCCTACACATCACCACCGGGATCATCTAAAAGACAAATCTAATACACATATTCATGGCGTCTATGTGTTAGGTCTTGTACAGTTTGACCCGATAACCTCTCAGCCTACTCTCTTACCATCTCGCTTTTGGGCTCTGACTAGCCAGTTTTCTCAACAGTAGGCCTGGAATCACCCCAATCCATCCTGTGCCTGATTAATTTCTATTTGACGTAGAGCTTTCAGATAGAATATTACTTCCTAAAAGAAAGCCCCCTGACCCTGTAATGCTAAGTTAGGTGCCTGTGGGTATGATTAAGGCCATTCATAAATACTTTCATTTTCCTCCTCTTTTGAACACGGTGGGATTGCACATCCCACCCCCTTGAAGTATGTTGTGATCACGTGACTTGCTTTGGCCAATGAAATGCAAGCGGAAGTATTGTGTGTGACATCTATGCAGAAACCCTTAACGCGATTGTGTGGTTTGCTACACCCTGTCCGTCTCTCAAGGCAGTGTCACAGTCCAGGTGGTCAGGGCCTCTGTTAGTCTGGGTCTCACAGAAGGACTGGAGCAGAGCTCCAGCCATCTAGCAGAACTGTGAAGCATCAATTTGGTGTTATGTAAATCACTATGACTTGGGGGTTGTTGGATGCCTTGACTGTATCTAGCCTGTGTCCTCAGAATGTGTGGGGTGTATCAGCACCATTCCCAGAATAGGAAAGAAAGCCTTACGGGTGGTTGTCTGCCTCTTTCCAGCAACTAGGCGATTTGGGGCTCCCGAGGCCGTCTCAATCCCACACCCGCACTTTCCATCTGGCCAAGGTGCCGTGGTTCTCCCTGCACCCGTGGACAGTGCCCACTTTCCTACGTATTTGCAGCCGCTCCAGAGCCTCATTCGCCCTCGGCTATTTGCAGATTGTTGCCTCTCTGTTCTGCTACAGGTTTGGTTTACCCTTCCAGGAGCTGGTGTGAAGAGTACCTGCAGCCCTGGCTGGTTTGGCTCAGCGGTTAGAGCGTCGGCCTGCAGACCAGAGAGTCCCGGGTTCGGTTCCCACTGAGGGCACCTACCTCGGTTGCAGTTTGTCCCCGGCCCTGGTTAGGCTTGTGTGGGTGGCAACCACTCAATGTGTCTCTCTTGTATTGATGTTTTTCTCTCTCTCCCTCTCTCCCTCCCGCTCTATCTGAAGATAAATGCAAAAATGGCCTCAGGTGAGGATAAAAAGACTGCCTGCAGCTGGAGGTGGTAAAACCAAAGTCCCTGAGCTCAGTGGTTTGGACACCGACGAAGCTGAGGCTTATGTCTGGGCAAGACACAGAGAGCCTTGACCTGCTGGGGAGGGCGGGGTGCAGAAAACCACCACAGCAGACATACGTTTCGCCCTAGGGAGGATTTTTAAATTGTAAGTCCTTTTGGGTGTATGTGAATTTCTTCCCCAGTGGCCTGGCCTAACATTTCCCTTCCCCAGACTCTGACATGCTGCTTTCAAGAATCTCCGTCATAATGCTCCAAATGATCATTAGCAGCGACCAGGGGTGGGGAGTGGCCATATAAGGCCCTCAAAATCAATACCAGCTAACATCACACACCTCACCAAATTACGTTGACCAAATATAGCAGGCTAATTTTTTTTTTTATCCTAACCTGAGGACATTTTTCCATTTTTTGTTTGTTTGTTTGTTTAGATAGAGTGTGAGGGGGAGAGAGAGGAAGAGAGAGAGAGAGAAACATTGACATGAAAGGGACACATCGAGTGGTTGCCACCTGCATGACCCAACCAGGGCCGGGGACAAACTGCAACCGAGGTACG